AGATTTCCTCCATCCACAGTATGAACCCATTACTACATTGCAAAAACTGGGGGATTATTAGGGGGTTCCATTTTTTGGATCCTCCAGGGGGCCTGGGATTGCACTGCAATCGATGCCAACGCTCTTGAGTGTATTGGGTACACATGTCAGCAGCCTGTCCACGTTGCCCATGGACCGTGTCTGCATTTAGGATTTAGGGTTTCAGCGTTAGGAGCTTAGGATTTTCCTAACTTCCAAAGTTAGAATTGCGGACACTTTTTCAGGCTCTCGAACGTGAGGCTTATGATACATTGGTGTACATAGGGTACTAAAGGGGGGTCAACAACTACCAATGTTATGGTCCTAGATTCCTCGTGTTCTTGTGCCGCTGGGCACCTCAAATACAGCTCATGTTTTTTGTCATTATGTAGGCCTCTACAAGAGACTTCCCTCTTTGTTGGAACACACGTGTCTGACTCGAGGCTAGACGAGTTTTGGATCTTCTTGACCCAAAGCCAGAAAGCATCCAGCATCTAGAAACCGTACATCCAACCTGAAGCCCAAAAGTAAGTAAAACCATGGCGAGGCACCCCTTAAAAGAGCCAAGCAGGCTACATGTTCTTGGTTGTTCATATAGACCCTAGTTGAAAGTTTATGACTGCTTGTCTACTATGTGCTTGGAAAACCTATACAATGCAAGGGCAGCTTGGGTGCAACTTGGAGCTTCAGTACAACCAAAACCCTCTGGACTCTCAAGCCTGAAGCTCTGAACCCCGAAGCACTCAACTCCTGGATCCCAAGCCGTAAAATCAAAAGACCTAAAATTTTGCACACTGAAACCAAATTCCAAACACTCAAACTCTAGGCCCCTAAACGCAGTTTCCATTTTTCCATTATCCCTGTATAACCCCTATTATACTATTGTAGTTTCCATTTTCTTTTCCATTATCCCTATGACTCTCTGCCTTGCTGAAAACAGGTTCAGCATCCGTCGAGGATGGTAAGGACCTGGTACTCCTGCCATTGGGTGAAGGGTCTTATGGAAAACAACATGGACAATAGTAGGAGACGAAATAAGTAAGGCAAGGAAAACAAAATGCTACACATGTTTTAGGGTTTGGGGTTTAGGCACCGAAATAGTTCGAATAGCGCAAGTCAAATCGAAAAGACAGTGAAGCAATCTGGCGTTCAGGGCCTAATGGATTGTACTAGGGATTTGGGGATAATATACTATATCCATATTAGGATTCTATGCTGCGCTTAGGATGTAAGGTTCGAAAGTGGATTCAGAGTTCATGGCTCTGTTCTTAAGAGCTTAGGCTTCCATGCCGGGCATGGGGCTAATGCCTGTGCCAGGAGAGTTTGAGCACACCCTACTTGCAGGGCACCTAGCCCATCTGCGAAGGCACTTAGAGCTTATGACAAGCCCTAGGCCCTAAACCAAACCCTAAACCCTAAACCCTGAGCCCTAAACCAAACCCTGGAACCTAAATCCTAAACATTAAGCCCCGGACCCTGAACCCCAAACCCTGGACGCAACCCCCCCCCTCCCTTCCCTTGACGCTCCACTGGGCCCTACAAATTAGCGTTTAGGGCTTAGGTACTGAATCAACTCTGAACCCTGAACTTCTAGACCTGAAGGCTTCAGGTTTAGGATTTAGGGTAAATAGTCCCCTTTAAGTAGATAGAATATGGGGTATGTGGGGATCTTATTATGATACACCCAAAGCCAGTTTCTACCTACTTGAGGGGGACTATAGGCTTAGGATTTGGGGCTCAGGCTTCAGGGTTTTGCCCTTCAACCCCCCAAGCCTGAAACCTGGATATACAGGGGATATATGAGGATAACGGAAAAGAAAATGGAAGCTACTAGGGTTTATAGGGATTATATAGGGATTATACCGGGTATATATTGGGGTTATATATGGGGATAATGGAAAGAAAATGGAATCTACTATTTTGGGTTTAGGGTTCAGGAAGTTCATAGGGTTCAAACCTTCAAGTATAGGATCCTGTACAATGGGCGTCTGCAGTGGTTGCAGCAGCTTCTTGAAGTGATTCTTGGTCCGGGTGCCTCTCCGCTGAATGCCAAGGGAGAAGAGGCTGAGTGAGGGCTTAGGGTTTAGGGCTTAGCGTCTAGGGCTTAGGGCTTAAGGTTTAGGGGTTTGAGTCTGTAGGGTGTTTGGAGGCTCAGAAGATTTCGTAAGTGGGCTATGAAGGGGCTATGCGCAGACCCATGTACTACGACCCCTTAGCCTTCGAGTATAGGCGAGAAGCGGACCAACAAGTGGATCTACACACCCCAAAACTCAAAAGTCTTTCCAATCTTTCAGACTAGGCGCTAATGTCCCTCAGCCACTTTTCGCTCATTCCATGCTCTTCCTCCACAGTGTCCTTCAAATGCTCGAGGCACACTACTTGTCATCATCGACAAGGCTATGCCAAAAGCCTACAAAAACAACAATCTACGTATGTCTCCGTTCCTATGATACGGGCGAGAAAGGTTTCGCAGGTAGGGGAAGGAGTCAAGTGACGCAGGTCGTTTTGGACTATGGCTTGAAGATAAGGATTGCATGGCACATGTTAAGGGTTTAGGGTTTATAAGGGTTAGGGTTTATAGGGTTTTGGGTTTAGAAGGATTTGGGGAACCCCAACCCACAATTGGGACCCTGTCATGGTCACATGATAAACATGGGGTCCTAATTTGAGGTTGGGGTTACCAATACCCCCTTACTGTTAAGCAGTTATACTCCCTTTCACCCGGCCGATATAAGCCCACTTCCCAATCTATGTGACATGTTGTTGTCCATCTGATTGTCCATCACTGCTACCTTAAAACCAGTTTTCCCCTACTGTGTATATAACCGTACATATATATATATATAACGCTAGATACCACTGCATAACCACTATTGCCCGCTATATAGCACCAATAAGCTCTGATCAAATTTGGGGACTCGACCCTAAACCATAAACCCTAAACCTTGAACCCTAATCCCTAAACCCGAAACCCTAATCCCTCAACCCTAAACCTTAAACCCTAAACATTAAACCCAAAACCCGAAGCCTTAAAGGAGTGCTTCGCGCCATGGGGATGGCAACAACCCTCACTTCCCTGGATCCTTTGCCACAACTAGGGTTTACTGCAATGCTGTTAAGAACTTTAAGTTAAGTTATCACATTAAGGGTATATAACAAATCATAGGGTGTAACTTACTTTAAGTTTCTTAACAGCGACCCAGTTTAGGGCCTGTTTTGTGTGTGTTGTGCTACCCGGGTGTCCTTTAATTGCGCTTGGGGCGCCAAGACAATCTTGCAAATTTTCTACTGCACTGGAACTCCCTAAACCCTAAAGTGTTACTGCCAAGCAACTGTCACCCCAACCGCTTTTTAAGTTTCTCAGGCTGACGAAAATGTCATAGCGGCGGCTGCTGCTGCTTCTCCTGCTGCTGCGGCTGCTATTCCTACTATACTTCCACTACGATACTCCTCCCTCCCTCCTCCTCCTCCTCCTCCTCCCAGTGCTCCTCTACTACTCTGCTACGCTGTTACAATCCTACTCCTGCACCTGCACCTCCTCTCCCTGCGCCTTTTTAACTTGTTCTTGCAACCATCACCCTTCCTCCCCCTTTCCAGCCAGGGTTCACCAAAAGGGTCCGCCCCTCCCCGCAGCTGTGGACTGGCGAAGGGATCTGGCTCGAAGAGCAAAGGCTCAGCAGCAGCCAGAGCAGCAATGGCCAAAAGAGAAACCTGGGCGAATTTAGGGCTTTAGGGTGCAGGATTTTAGCTTTCTTCAAAGTTTCAGGGTTTGGGATAACAGGTGGCCCACATCTTGCGAGATTCCCCTTTGAAGGACCGTTCCAGCGACAAAGCGCGCTGGGATCACAGTGCACGCAAGCATGCTCAAAAAGGGGATCTTTTTGCACCGACTGCTGTGTGTGCCTGGCTGCGTGCTGTCAAGCGCTGAACCGGGCCGGAACGTATCAAAAGATACCTCTCCAAGGGAGCACTAATGTCTTATTTCAAAGCTCAGGCTTCACAGCCTAGGGTTTAGGGCCTGCTCCTTCCCACCAGTACCGCCAATATGATATCATTACTATACATTAGGGGGAATAGGGTTTAGGGTTTAGGGTGTAGGGGGAATATTCATTCTTGAGGGATGTGGGGGCTTATTATCAGGCCCAGCTTGCCCGGACCAGGGAAAGCTGCCGGTTCTCCATGCTTGCATTTAAGGCTTATAGTCCCTTTAAGTAGATAGCATATGGGGTCTATGGGGATCTTACCATAATATACCCAAAGCCATATTCTATCTACTTAAGGGGGACTATAGGGTTAAGGGCTTAGGCTTAGGGTTGAGTTTATGACCAACACATCGACCCGACTGCATGCTGCGTTGTAACAAGACTTATGATGCTGATGTCTTCTCAGTACACGCTCGGGTATGAGCTCACATTCTGGTTGCTTAGTCTAAGTTCTTTAAGTCCCTACGTACTCTCTGTAAGGACCCAGTTTCCATTTCATTTTCTGTTGGCTTCTGCACTTGATTCCCAATTCTGGGAATTTAACCGAAGCTCTTTAGCAACACCGCCCCTTTTTGATGAGAAGGGATAGAGCTCCTAGAGACAGCAAACCGCTTCAGTTACATTCACCCCCTCATAGGGCCCTTACGCTCGTGCTTAAATTTTTGAGGAGATCGGCTTTTTACTCTAGAATCATTTACATTTCTTGCTCCATCCCTGCTATCTTTATGAAGCTTGCATGAGGCTATATAGGGATAATAGGGTTGCGAATATGGTTGAAAGTATGCTTCCCCACATCCGCAAAGAGACTGGGCTTAGCTTCAAAGCCAAGCCCAGCCATTCACAACAACGAGTCTATGTTGGAGTTTAGCACAAAGTTGAGCGTGCCTCGTGTCTACTCAGATTTGGCAAAAGGACACCCCAAACCATAAAGCCTAAACCCTATAAGCACCCAAACCCTTGTGCACGTTCTGTAAGTCTGCTTTTCAAGAAGCAGGAATCAGAGTCATGGCGGCGCGGGCTGTTGGGGAGTAGATGCTAACTTTTTGAGGCCTCACACAAGCAACAGACAAAGATGAGACATACAAAGCCCGAAAACAAACAGGGGTGTTAATAACCATTCCTACAAGGCGAACCCACCAACTCTGATTGGCACCCACGTCCCTAACAGATATGGAAGTATCCATGCATAGAGGACCACCACATAGACTCCAATAGAGGACCACCACATAGACTCCAATATAATTTAACCTTGATAAGAGGGACTGGCAAAAAGAGACCCCTAAGTTTCAGAACCACTCCTGCTGTAGTCCCCTGCTCTTCGCACAAGCCCGTAAAAAAAACAGCAAGTCTCACCATGCTCCCTCTGAACAAGATGCCCCTGTAAAAGGAGGCGTCTAAATACGGAGGTATGTACGGAAACTTAGGGGATAGGATCTTGCCTTGTCAAGTTCTAGATCCTTTTGATAAGCCCGCGTTTTTCAGGACCTTCCAACATAGACCCAGCATGGTTTTAGATAGGTTGCAGGATTACCTTTAACCCTAAAATCTTGTCTGCCCATCATCCCATCAAGATGGATTTCGGATTCACTATGGGTTCAGGGTTTAGGGTGTCATCATGCGAAAATGTCGAACAGTATAACCCCAAATAAATGCCAAACTTTTGATTAAGGGGGCTCAGAACGATCCCTTGAGAGTTCAGTGTGATAATCATGTTCCCGGGAGTGCATGATACTTATGTCATGTATACTTTACACACGTAGGGCAAGCGCGTAAGAACCCTCAAAACAGCACCATCCTACTCGTCAGGGGCCTTCTCGCACCCTGCATGCTGAAGCTTATGGTTAACATCCAAACCGTTACACAACTGTAAACCGCAAATCCTTTGGAAGTCCCTGGCCCCACCCCCAACCCTAACCCCAAACCCAACTGTTGGGACTGAACTTTTCAGGCCAAAATCAGGTGGGTTCAAAACCTCATCCTTAACAGGGACAACTAGGACGGTTCCTTTGTTTGGACTTTTTGTTAGGGGACGCATACTATTTTTTATTAAACTACACACTTTCGTGGCCAGTCTCGGTTAGCACAGATTCGTCTTGTCAAGAACACGTTTGGGCCTTAGCTGGGGTTGCTCTTCGGTGTTTCCTGCGCTTGGTGCCACTTACTGCGCGTATGGGTTCTGGGGAGGGCCATATAACAAGTACCATAGAATATTTGATTACATCAGGGAGACCAGAGCTTCAAAACAACAATGATGAATACAGTCTCCGACCTACCATGACGGCTTTTCAGGGTTTATCAAGTATCCCGAGCATGCAGTTATATATTTTGCCGACATCCGGTCTCCTTGGATGCCCCGCAGCACGTGCCACATAAAATGAGTGAGCCCCTACATACCCTTACAAATTGAGACTTCCAAATGTAAGGACTGCAAGACACACCCACACTTGAAAACAACCCGCACCGAGCGACCGCGCGCAAATCTATGATTTCATCTAGACGCGCACCAGCGAAGAAGGCTTCCAAACAAACAGCCCCATTTTACGTGTCCAACATACTGGTTGACTAGGGATCACATGATGGCACCAAGGCCCTAAACCCTAAACCCTAAATCCTAAAACCTAAACCCTAAACCCTTAAATCCTATAATCTCAATTTGTCCGGGGTGCAATGATATCCCATGACAATCCCAAGCCAAGGGATAATGCCAAAGAAATTGGAACCTGCCATTTAGGGTTTGGGGTTTAGGGATACTGGAAAAGAAAATGGAAACTACTAATTGTGGTATAATAGGGTATATAGTGGGATCATCTGCCTTAAATCCTAAACGAAAACAACATCACAACACCTTATGTTGGCCAATGCCCCTCCGGCGGCAATCAGAGAAACCCTGTTTGCTTTTTCGTACCTGTTGCGCTGGCTGGCCGCACGAAATCATTGCTGACCCATGATTTACGTAATGACCGTTACATGAAAGGTTCCCAAAATGAGAGGCCCAATCTGAACCTGAAAATACTGTGATTTGGTAATTTAATTTCTCTAAATAAGGGACCCCAATACAGACCCCAAAATACTGTAGCCCGAATTATGGGGACCCCCTAGAACGGTACCCCTAATTTGCGGAAATCCCCTAATTCTTGGAAGCCCGGACATGTTGTTTGAGGCCTCTGGCATCCCTAGAATATCCCTTGTATTCGCCATGTGAAAACACGATATTCTCCATCATTGTTGCGCTATTAGTGCAGGGGCCAATTAACTAAAATACTGGAGAAACAAATAAAATATCATGCAACATGTACAGGACGATGAAACGAGAGCTGGGGACACTCTAAACCTTTGAGCCATCTACCGTATGGGTCAAATAGGAGCCAGCGCAGAACTGAATGCAAGCGCAGCACTGACCAACATAGAGCATCGGCAAACAAATGGGGAGTAACTTGGCCCGCATCCGCCCCTAAACCCTAAACCCCAGGGTTCACAGCCCCGGCCCTCGAAAGCTCGGACTAAATGATTGTATGTAGAGGCCGATATAAATAGAAGAATGTTTTCTTGGAGATCTTGTATTCCTCTTCCATCATCTGTAATTCCCAGTTCCCAGTTCCCCGGGGTTATGCCGCGATAAAAACTTAGAACATGCTAAAGGGATAGGTGGTCTATAATTGTACTCTATTGTGACTAACTGTACAATATTGTGACCCGTCATTTTTAGGGGCTGGCGGAGTTCATGACTTAAGATTGGTAACTAATCCTTTCATGCCAATACTAAATTCCCACCACACCTGATGTTAAAATGCTCCGCCCCCCCCCCTCACCCCCTCCCCCCATATAGAAGGTCTCTTATGGGTGAATGCTTAATGTTAGTTTGTTAGTTAGGGGTGGGGGGTTACTTCAGGGGAGTATGAGGGAATCATTCGGCTTGAGGTTCCAATGCTAGGGTCTTGAACTGTCTGGGCTTTAGGATCATGTATTGCAGATCCGCACAGGGACTTTGCTGCCAAGAGGTGTGCACTTGCGTGAAGAAAAAGGTGATGACCCAAGCAAATGTCAGAAAACACCGCGAATTGGCCACCCTAAGTTCTGGTCCCTACAACCCTAATCTCTGAACCCTACCCCAATCCCTACGCACTGAACCCTTGCTGGAATCATGGGTCAGCGTTCATGACCGCCTCCGGATTGAAAGGGGAGACTGGCCAACGTCGTCGAAAATTGTATGTGAAAAGCTGAACTAGGCCTTAGCATTTGGGGGCTGATTATGCCAACCCCGATAGGGCTTCTTGGCAAGTGTTGTATCCGTTAAGACTCGGCACAGGCAAATAGCTGTGGGCATGTTTCAGAGCAAAACAGTTTACGACTAATGGCAAAAAAGAGTAGTATACTATAATAAACTATAATAGAGTATGATATACAAAATTATACTAGAATATCGTATCATGCACTATAAAATAGCATATTATACCATGGTATACCACAATATACTATATAATAATAAGAACCAGCATGACCCCGAGCACCTCGTGGCTCAGTAATCTCCGTACACAAGCATACTCAGGACATGCAGCGATCTTAACATCGACAGTCGAAATTATGTATATTTTAGTATGTTATGGTATATTACAGTAGACTGTAGTAGAGTATATTCCAATATATGTTTTCAGAGGCTCTTGTCAGTTTATAATCCCCTTAAACAGATAGAATTTGGCTTGGGGTATATTATAAAAAGATCCCCATCTA